AGAAGAAGAAGATGTAGATGAAGATGAAGAAAAGGCCGTTTCCTTGCTGGCAACAAACAAAAGACTTAGGCAACGAACTTGCTTTCACAACTTCGAAGCTAGCGCCTCTTAACAAATTATTGATTTATTGCCCACTGCACACAAGCGCACACGTTTGACAAAGAATGGTAGATCATAAAATATATTTTTATATCGAGTTATAAATATCAGTATATATACATATATTCCCGAGCTCGATTGATGGCTCAGTAAAATATTTTTAAGTGCCTCACAATTAGTCAGGTCCATTTCTCATAAAGTATGAAAACATCCCAAAGCTATAAGAAATCATTGTTTTATTTGTTTGTTTTGAACGCAAGAGTCAATAAAATTCTCAACGCAGCCATGGATCAAGTGGGGTCCGTTTTCAACACTAATCGAAAAGTAGACCATAAAAAGATATAGCTTTTGATTGGCCAGCTTAATTGTTTTAAAATCATCTATGGGTGGGTGGTCTTTAGGTCTTTTATAAAATTTCAATAAGATGCAGAAACGTGATCTTCAGCTGCTCTTCCAGATTTTTCCCGATTGGATTAACTTAAAACATTTGAAATAGAATTCTTAAAACAAGTGCATTCAACTTTGTATTTTACGGATGTTCGATTTTTTTTCGTACCCCTGTTTAAATTGAATTTTTTTAATTTCATCGATTGTTTCGTGTTTTCACTTGATCTTTCAAGTTGTAGAACCTTCCAGTTCTCACCCCGCCCCTCGAAAGGTGACAAATAAATAATAGATACAGCGAGTCCGCTCAGAATGATTGGAGATCGATCTGAGAATGGGCGGCTGGATACGTAATGGCCATAGAGCCTAGGAGCCGGCAAACTGGGAGCTGCAAAGCAAAAGCACACTCTAAGCAGCTTTATGATGTGTTAAAACTGTTGCAACAACAACCACAACAGCCACCATGACAAGCATCGGCAGCACAGAGATAAAAAAGGATGACGATGACTGGCCAACGTCATCGTGATTGTCGTTGTCATTGTCGTCATCGTGGAAATGCTGGACTTACGGTCAGACGATCGGACCATTTCGCTTTGGCCTGGGATCAAGTGTTCGACTTCTCGGCCAGTCGTGCACTGAAAAAATAGACTTCAAGATAAATCACTTTAAAATATAACTTGCTTAACACAAAACCAAGAAATCAATCGCATTTTGTGTTGGAAAAGTGATATTACTTTTGAGCCACAAAACTATCTATATACGAAGTACAATTTTCTTTCTGTGCATTTCAATCGAGATCAGAGCTCCAGCTTCTTCACTTTGGTCTTCATCTCTCGCCGATAATTGATCATCATCAGTCGGTTTTAATTGATCGCTTTTGCCTTGCCCTGCCAGCCACGCCTTGCATTATTGTTGTATTACATTAAGTTGGATCTGCGATCGGTGGATCGGTGGATTGTTGGATCGCTGGATCGCCGCTTCGATTGTAATCAATCACTTTCGTGGAATTGTGCCTGCTGAATGAAATGAACTATGCTACAGCCGCCGTTGTTCCGTCGGTGGCCCAATAATCCGGCCCATAAGTTGCAGCCCCAGTTCTTTTTATTACGAAGGCGTTGTCAACGGGCCGCGACTTTGGCTTTGACTTTGGCATTTTTCCTCCAATCATGAGCCGCAATTGTGTACGTGAGCTGCACTTCAACCGTACGATACCATCCTCGATCGGTGATCCAAGATCCCAGTTGCAGGTTGCAGGTTGCTGGTTGCAGGTTGCTAGTTGCCGGTTGCCGGTTGCAGGTTGCCTTGCCACATGCTGCGTCAATAAGTCACTCGATGGCATTTGTGAAATGCATTAGATCAGCGCACATATCGAAAAAAGCGATCGATGAACCAACCAACCGATCGTGCAGCACAAATTCCTATGCAAATTGTAGTGGTTACTTTTTTATTGATCTTCAGCGCCTCGATTATGGGGATACCCCAAGGCCAAAATTCACGGCTTTTATTTAAAGAAAGAAAGATAATGTATAATATAACTATTAATCTTATACAATGCTCCTCTATAGAACGTATTTTGAATCCTTGTGAATATTTTTTGTAAATTCTTCGATCATTTCTTATCACTGTAATTAGCAGTGGTATTCCACCAAAAGAATTTTCGGCTCCGATTTGCCTTTGATTTTGATTCGGACATGGATTGGACTCCTCCATTAGAGCGGCTGTCAATTAGAGCGAGATGTCTGCGATGTCAGCCAAATGCTTTGGCCCAAATGGAATGCAGAGATCCAGCTCTCCTCCTTCGGTTTCCCGAGATGTCTAATTAGTATTCGGCTTGGTGGCCCCAAGGCCGGACTACTTCCCCCTTCCTCAGTTTTCCCAACAGAAAACTGCATGCCCAAATGGAAAAATTAAGGAAAAGAAATCCACCTCATATGAACATCGAAGCGAATCGAACAGGAACCGGAGCAATAAACAAAGACATCAATGGCCCACAGGCAATATATCTGCCCGATTCTTCAGAGATCTGTTCTTCCTCTTCTTCTTGGTCTTTTTCTGTTTTTTTTTTTTGCTTGGTCTTCTGAATTAGATGCAGTCCCATAAATAATATTTCGACGGCAAATGCAAAGTGGAAAAGCAAATACTCACCATGGCGACAAATGCTCGCCACAACAGTGGGCGATGGTAAGAGAGAGGGAGAGGGATGGATGGGGAAAGAAAGAGAGGGGTGGAGCCACTTCTTGGCACACGTTTGCCCAGAGACCCAGAGCAATCAATAATCCAAAGCGAAGAATCGGAGGGGGAGCGCGGGGATCAAGCTTAGATCGCAATGAATTCGCACTGCGAGGAGATCGGAGTTCGGAGATCGGAGGAGAGAAGAAAGGCGGCGAAGAGCGGCGTCTTCTCGCTGCCGTAGAGAGCTGAAGAAAGGGGGAAGAAAGGGGAGAAGCCGGACTCAGAACCTGTTCACCCAACGGGCCGCACATTAGGAGGTAGTTGAGAAGTAAGGCAGATTCTTCGGACTTTTTTCTCGGCTCGTATCCTTTGGGTAAGGAAGCTGCAGATTATGTGTGGCAAAGGTGGTTCCGCTTAAAGAATACCCTGTGAAAAATAGGAAGGAAGCGTTAGTTACGTTAGTTAATATATAATATTTAAATCTGTAAATCTTAAGTAATTTCATGTCATCAACTTGTACATACGACTCGTATGTACTTTCGTCTAATCATAATTCGATCGCATCAAGTGAAGAGCAGCAATTTAGAAGAAAACAAACTTGCTTAGATCATTTTCTTATTAATAGCCATGTAATTCCGCAAATGTTTTGTTAGCCAACCCCCCCATGCAGCAATCTCTTATCATATTGCATATCGCATATCGCTCATCGATCCCTGTTCGGCCCACAATGAGTATACTCCATTATTGCCCAGTTATTTCGATCTTGCTGATTATAAAAATAGCAAACGAGTCACGGCCAGATCGACAAGCAGCGCCAGTTCAAGGAGACACCACCACAGACGAACAAACAAGCAGGCACACACACGCGCACACAGTGAAGAGAGTTGGGGAAGACCGAAGAATTGACCAATCGAGAATCGAGCAGAAGAACCAAGAACCAAGAACAAAGAACGAAGGTATATCGGATCGTCTTTCAATGGTTTTTTTCAGTCGCGCGGATTCCTGTTTGCTATTTCCATCTCCCTTGCACTCACCTTTTTTTTTTGGCATTAGAAGAGGAGCTTCACATCCTCAGATTCAGATGAATCCGCTGGGGAAGAAGGAGAAAAATTATTATAATAAAAATAATAGCAAACCGGAATTTCCTGATCCTGTTTGTCTGCCTATCAACCTACCTACCGACCAACCATCCGACTAAGCAAACTACCAACTGTGATTCCTTTTTGCATGTAAAGTTCGCTCGCAGATGTTTTTTTCCTTCCTATGTAAGGCATTGGGTTTGCCTCGAGAAGTGATTTTCATGAGGGGGCTACTGTCAAACAGGATTACCCTTTCCCAACATTTCGCTTTCGTTTGTTGTCTCGTTCAGAGCTTATGTTTTGATTGCTATATGTGTTATTATAAAATGTGTATAATAAGCTCTTATTGATTTCCGTAATGTACTAATGTTCTACATGTTTTCCATTTAATAATAACCCATTCTCTTGTCACACTCACATCGTTACATTTACGATAATAGTTATTGTGGAAAACATAAGTGTATGGGCACACTCACGCATCCATCGCTATTTGATGATGCGATGCTAACAGCTGTTCATTTTTGCATTTTGATTGGTTTTTGCATTCTATTTCTAACTAGCTTTGAGCTCGGAGGCCGGCTATCACGAGATAGGATCCCATTTAGCCATTGCATCTGGCACCCGATCAGCTGCAACTTCGGCGTTAGCATTAGCTCGGGATCCCCATCCCCGATCCTGGAAAAACTGGCCAGGAAGAAGTCGGACGGCTTGAGCTTGGCAGCAATATTTATGAGCGGCTCCACAGCGATGGCAATTAATACGATTATCGGGCAGATTAATTGGCAATGGCACTGCAATTAATACGCGGTCGGAGTTGCACTTGCCTCAAAGTCACTTGATACGTCCAAAAGGCTATATTTCTAATGTCAAAAACTAGCAATAAATGCCAAAACAAAAGATTAAAATCAATTGTTGAATAGATATTTACCATAATAATTCTTATTTTTTAAGAGTTATGTAGAACGAACAAGGTGTCTTTAAAAATATCACATGCAGAAAACCAATATTATTTTGTTTGTCTGCTAAAATAAAGGTTAATGGCGTTAAATTGAGGATAAATATCAATACCGAAGTTCACAAACATGAATAATAATATCAATATTTATTTAACTGTTCTTCAAAACAAAAACGAAGGCTGGCCACATACTGAATAAATACAAAACGCTTGCGAAATAATGTTAACAATATGAAAAATACATATCAACCCGTTTTTGTACTCCTTTTATGTTAATTTATTTTTGTGTTTTGTTTGTTTGCTTCTTCCAGCCTTCAAGTGCAATATGGTGATAAGGCTGAGATGTCCGAAGACAGCAGAACGACGACGATCCAGACAGATTTTATGGCTAAAATAAATGACGAACAGCGAAAACGGCAAACGGCAACGAAAGGAACAGGCTAATAAAAAGCCATTAAAGTCAAGTTCAGGCAGGTCATGTGAGTAAGTTCCTCTGTTTTTTGTTCATTTTTTTGTTTTCGCCATTTGGGAAGTCTCAAAATTCCCGATTTTTGGGTGGGTACCTGAGTGTCTCCCCCGTTTCCATAAATCAAATAAATTAGAAAAACAAAAAAAAAAGACCGCACAGAAATGAATTAAAGGAAAAACAATCCAAGAAACGCAAGACTAATGAGAACAAAAATAAATTTTAAAAAATCTTTTGGGTAGGGAAAAATTTGGGTGTGACTTTGGAAACCGACCTCCCATTTCCTTTGATTTTTTTTTTTTTTTTTACCACCTTCCTTGCTTTTTTGCTTTGTACGCCGATTTTGGAGGTGTTCTTTACCCCTTTCCATCGAGCTTCTTTTCGCGGAAAGCAACTGTATTTGAAAAGGAAAAGGGAGAAACCAGTTTCGGTTTTGTTCTCTTTCGTTACTAACTTATCTTCCATTTTCCTTTTGGGCGTTTCGTCTTTTGCGTTAAAAAGATACTTTTTCTTAAGAGAAACGGAAGAAAAAATGGAATATTTTAAGATTACCTAATTTCTTTGTATTAACACACAACTTAACCTCGTTCCTAAATTGAGAATGCATTTTTTTTGGGTGGGCTTTTTTTTTTTGCTTAAATCTAAATGACATCATGGAATGCAAATGCCAAAGACAATGCGCAGATCAACAAAAGAACAATGAAATAACAATGAAAGGCAGCGGACAAAAGTCTGGAAAATCATAGCTCTTCTGCTGAGGTGAAAAATTACGCAGATCTTCCAAACCCGAGAATAAAACTCATAATATTTGCATAGCAAATTGGGTCAAATGACCGAGCAACGCACACGTAATGCTAAACGAATCTAAACGCAAATCAATTTATATATGTATATATAAATATGTACAGGGTGCGCCATCTCGAGCTTCGGTATGAAAATATTAAATAACTTTGGAAAAAAACAAAAATTCATGGAAAATGTTTTACATATATTTAGATTGATCCTTTACAATTCATTTGAGTTAGTTTTTGAATACAATATCGACTAAGTGACTTCCTTTGTTCTTGATGGCAAAAAGTGTCCTTTTTCGAGCATTTTCCATTATTTTCTTGAGCAATCGGCCGATATATTGGCCATTTCGGTGCGAATACTCTCCTTGAGCTCCCCACAAAAAGAAATCCGGCGGGGTCAAGTCCGGCCAGTCGATATCGCCTCTTTTTGACACAACGCATCCAGGAATTTTGCTGCAAAAACTGCATGGTTTCGTTTGCTGTCTGACATGGGACCCCGTCCTGCTGAAACCAGAAATTTTCTAGACCCTTCAAAAACTAACTCAAATGAATTGTAAAGGATCAATCTAAATAAACATAAAACATTTTCCATGAATTTTTGTTTTTTTCCAAAGTTATTCAATATTTTCATACCGAAGCTCGAGATGGCGCACCCTGTATGTATATTTACTTTTGATACGTACATAGATATAGATTTAAATGCAGATGTACGTCTGCTCACTCCATGTGTATGCTAATCAAATGAGCGTGTCCATATGAAAATGAATGAACGACGACAAAAACAAACTGTAAACGTTGTACAATAATCCTAAGTTGGTGGTAATTCCATTGGGATTTTTGGGAGGTGGTGGGGAGTGCTATATAGACAGAGACAGAAAGAGACAGATACAGAGACAGAGAATGAGAAAGAGAGAGAGAGGGGGCATACAATGCACAATTGCCCATTAGCATAATGATGCCATAAAGTGCGATCGATTGGATGGCTTTTGGGCGGTAGTTGACCAAAAGAATGCGGTGAATGCCAAACCATGGACCCCTCATCAAGGTGTAGTCGTTGTCGTCCCCCCTCAGTATAAGTATATATATAAACACATACATATATATATGTATATACATAAATTCCTTCTTATATATAAATGTTTATTCCTCTTCGCATCGTTTCGTTTTATGACAATTAACACTGCTTAAGAAGGCAAACAAACAGCGACATCGTCTGGTTGTCTCCGCTTTATGGCCAGGTTAACCGAGTCTTGTGGCGAGCGGGCTGCGGGGGCAATGTTTGTGCAAATATGGCGTAATAAAGCGCAGTGTATGCATCCAAGAAAACACTTCCTAGTAATAGCAGACGGCCATTAGGGTTCTCCTCACTCACAGTACTGTTAAATTGGCTGTGTTATATGGTTCTCTAATTTTTTGCTCAACTCAATTATGTTTCATAGATTCCATAGTTTGCGTATCTGAGTGTCTACTTAACTGGTAGCTGTTATTTCTGGTTAAAATTTATAATGACTAATTAGTAATTAGTATCAAATTAAAGATACAAATAGATCCCATTATCTTTATATTTTTGGTAACGAAAGTGAAACTATTATAAGCTTTAATTCTTGCCCATCAAAAACCGCGTACTTCAACAATCCAATTGTTACACTATTACTCATTAATCTGTGCTACAGTCAGTTGATCTTTGTCACTATTTTCGATTATCAGCTTTTCCACTGTGCTATGCCATTAGCTCGTTGTATCTTTCCATCGGCTGTCTGTCAATCAATTTTCCAGCTTCAATCTGTTAACATATCGCAGATAAATCTGCGAGATGCAAGATGCAAGATCCGAGATGCAAGATGCGGGATGCTAATGCATATGTGTGCGTGTCTGTTATCGCTGGCAACAAAGTGGCTGGCAACATGTTGCATGTTGCCGGGTGTCATCTATATAGGAAAGGAACGATCAGGAATAGAATATGGAGTATAGCGCGTGTCTTGGCCGGCCGGTTCGACTTGACTCAATTCGTCATTTAAATGATAGAGCCCCCCGTTGCGGTTCGTATCCCCCCCCTTTGTAACGCCCCTGGGGCAATGGCAGCACTTAGCGCAACATCAACTTAAATTGCAGAAGCTGAATAAAAAAAAAAAAAAAAAAACAACTAAGAAGCGGAGAGAGAAACAACACAACTGGAAGCAGACGAAACCGGAGCTCCGATCCACTCCACTACCGGGGAACGTGCCAGGCCAAATTAATTGCTTCGTTAGATCGAAGAGGATGGTCTGGCCGATGGGAAAATGGGAAGCGGAGGGGACGGGGGGGAAAACGGAGGGGGAATCGCTTGTGCCCCACAAGAACCGCTTTTGCCAATTTTTTAGCTCTCCCACTTCCGCTGGCGGAAAAAGGGGGTAACACGAGCCACCGCCACTGCCACTGCCACTGCCCAACAACGATTGACAAATTTCCAAATGCCATTAAGCAGGCGTTGCATGCAACCAGCCTCGTCGTACCCCAAGCCCCAACCCCCAAACACCAAGCAGCAGGCAGCAAACCCCCAAAGACAAAGAGGCGAAAAAAAAGAGGTCCGCTGCAGAGGAAGATGGCTAATGGATGACAAAACAGGTGGCCAACAGCAGCGGTAGCCGCGAATCTGGACTGCTGCGGTTGCTTCTGCACTGGACAAAAAAGATATCAGGGTGCTAAAAAAAAGATAACCGAACCACCAGGAAAAACTGAGGATTTTAATGCATTAAAACATTTTGTTAGAAACTACAAACCACTTATGAAATGTACATGATCACAACTGGTATATAATCAGCAAAACAAATATTGTTGAAATCCGAGGAAATATTATCATCATCTTAAACAATTACAAACAATTTAAGTCTTAACCTGTTATGTATTTATTCAGCATTCAATTCTCATAAGAAGCATTGCATTTTTTCGGTCAGTGTGCAGTTATTTCTGTTGCAAAACGCCCCGCTGGCGTTTGCAATTACCGTGTGGATGCCACCACATAGCTATTAAATCACATTGCTGAAATATTTCATCTGTTTGCAAATTTTCGACAATCAACTTAATCGGAAATGCTCCGTTTTTTATAACTTTATCATCGCTCTGGATTGCGGACACCGCGGACAGGGTCCAGATTTGGACCGATGTTGAATGTTGCTGAATGTTGCTGATGTTGCAGGCCGCAGGTGGCAGGTGGCAAGTGGCAAGTGGCAGGCCCCATCGCTGTTGCCGGTGATAAGAATCTTGTTGTGGCAATCTCTCCTGGGCATCTATGAATGTCTTTTTCCCGCCCGGATCCGCAGATCCCCCAAGATCCCAAGATCGCGGCATCCACGCTCTCCATCCAATACTTCCATCCCTCCCCATCGAGCTAGAGTCCATTTTGAGGCATGTTTGCTGCCATTTGTTGCTTAATTAATGCTGCAGGTGACGCTGCTAACGAGATGGAAGCCACGCCCAAATATAGATATACATATGTAAGCTAATATTCGGGGCAGGGAAATTCAAATAAATCATTTTCAGGCCATTATTTCAAAGACCGCCGTTAAAAAACGGCAAAAAGATAATTGCAAGATGTTTAGTCTAAGCGATGTGTGGCAAGAAGAATCATAAATAGTTTTTACAATATGCAATTGCTGGCTACTAAATAATTTCTGAGCTATTTAAGCTTTCTAGGTATTACGTATTTAGTTCTAAAGTAAAGGTAGTCTGTAATTTTATTATTTGGCGAAAGGCTAACTATCGAAACGAGCCAATCACATTCGCCGCTCCCGAAAACAAAAGGGCGTATGTATATGATATTTATTGGTTGGGTGGATGAGGGGCAGAGATTCGTCGTGGATGGCCAGAAATACCAGAGTCCAGTCACCTTCACGCACTTTGCATAAGACGAAAGCCCCACACAATGCCGGCTAAAAATAGATTGCGAAAAATAGGGAAACAAAAACTATATCCACTGAAATCGGCGAAAGAAATGTTAAACCAATTTCAATCAGATATATCAGGCTCAGAAGATGACAAAGCCACAGCCCTTTTGGGATGATATAATCCCAAAAACAAGAAACAAAAGCGTCTGCGAATGTGTCAAAATCGACGAAAATAAACCGCAATTGTGGATTCGAAATAGAAAAAAGGGGCGGTGCAATCCCGATTACGATTGGGTTATAGTCGATGGGTTGTGTTAGTGGTATTGTATCGTATCGAATCGAAGCGATTTGTTCGTACCTTTCTATATATATATTCCCCGTCTGGCGATGGTAGTGACGATGATGGTGACAAATGTCAACGAACAGCGAAACGAACCAAACAAAAGGTTCGATCAAGATTTCAAATTGTCTATTGTTGCCACAAATCGCCGGGGTGACAATGGGCCAGAAGTAGCCCCCAAGTAGCCAAAAAGATCACAAGAGCTGCTGCTGCTGCTTCTGCTGCTTCTTCTGCTGCTGAGGAAGAGCCAGTGGAACGGTACTTTCCGAATGATCCCCCAACCCCCCAACCCGCCACTCAATTTTTGGGGGGCCATTCTCTTACTCTCGCTCGTGTTTCATTAATAGTCAAAGTTCATGTGTCGGGGCGTCAGAAATCGAAATCGATTGGCGGTCAAAGATCTTCGTGAATCAACAGGGAAACCTGCTTGTACTTTACAAAACACTAAAGTTGAGTTACAACTTAAATTTTAATATACAATCAAAATTAAACATCATTTAGCTTATAAATATGACAATCTTATGATATAATCTAATGTATATCTACTAACTTAAGGTTCTTTCTTTTTTTTTTTGAAAAAATCGATTTTTTTTTTTTTTTAATAAAATGAAAGTTACATATTTCGATACGACGCGTATTTCTTGAGCTAGAGCGTGTCAAACATACCCATGTCACATGCGCTGTGGTACGCTCTAAAAACTTTAAACGCGTTTTTCTCGGAACCATGTTTTCAAACCTCTTGTCGCGCACAGGGGTCGTTCTATTGATCCGATTTCCTTCATTCAAAAAATTTTTGAAAGTATATACTTTTTTGTATGCCTTATACCTAAAATTGGCATAAAAAATTGTTTATTTATAATTTTTAAACGAGATCGAAGTAAAAAAAAAAAGTCAATTTTTTTTAAATGTCCATAAAATTGGTTTATTTTTACCAAAATTGATTCTAGTTAGGTATAAGGCATAGGAAATTCCATCAATTTTAATAAATAATTTACATTTTTAATTTCGGTTCACTACCAGCGGCCCGACACTCGACAAAGCAGAAAAATAGAGGTCTACGAGATCCGCCATATTGAAGCCGCCATTTTGAATTTCCTGAATATTGAATTTTTTTTTTTAATCGTTAATAAACAACGAATCAAAAGTTCAAAAGCATAAGTTCGTATGTCTTTTCATTTTTCCGCAATTAATTCTCAAAGTTTGCTTAATTTTCGAAAAAAAAGAAAAGAACCTCCCCTTAAACAACTTGGTAAACTCACACTTAGTGAAAAGATCTCCTTTTTTTTTCGTTTTCTCAATCGAGTCTTGACTGTTAATTTGTTCATTTCAATATGAGAGCTCGCTGGGCTCTTTGACAAACTTTATTTATGTTTTTCTTCACGCTCGACCGTTAAGTTAACTGCACATTTGCTTTGTTCGGCTTATTGGCCGCTTATTGTTTTAACACCGTGATCTCTGTGATCTTTGATCTCTCGGCCCTATGTGACATGATTGGTCTTCCTTCGTCAGCATCAAAGAGAATGTTTTAATTATTTCCCAGCCAAAAGCCAAAGGAATCCAGTCGCAGTCGCAGTCACAGTCGCGACCTTTCCACTGATTAATGCCCCTTTCATTAGCCCTTCTAAATTTAGATACTTCTCCACTTGCCTTCTTTGCCGATTTGCCACGCCCATCGATCTCCTTCTGTTGGCGGTGGAGAAAAAAAAAAGAAGAAGTGGAATAGACAACGTCTAATGGCTGTCACTAAATAGGCGTGTCCTAATCGCCGAAGAATGCCACTTTGAATGCCGCAGGCGAGGAGATTGATCGGCACGTGTGGAAAGAGCCGACGAATTATAATAGAAATATAATTAGGAAACCAATTAAAAAGGGTGCAATATATTTTATTTGTTACTTCATAACAAAACAACACAATATAAATTGGAGAAAATAATGATGGAAAAATCCTAATAGGGAACGATCTTAGTTGGAAAGGAAAGGATGTTTGGGAAATCGATGTCTTAATACAAATAATGAGCCAACAGCCGCATTCCGCGTCATTTGCAAAACTCATTCGCGGGGAATCTGTTTGGTTTGGTTTGGTTTGGTTGCCGGTCACAATGTTCCCAATGCCCCATGGCGATGGGATGTCCGTCTTTGGCGACTCCTGTTCTGTTCCCGCTCTTCTGCCTGATTCGTTCTGAAAAACTCCGTCTATGGGGGACTCCGTCTTGCCAACCGCCAACCGCCAACCGCCAACCGCCTGTCGCCCCTCGCAGGTGTGCTGCTAAAATAGTTGACTAATTAATTTATAATGCAATTTCACTGCGTTCGACGCGCGGGACGATTGAGGCGGGCAGGCGGCGGATGATCGCTACCATTTGCAACATGGAAACCGTTTTAATACACACCACAACTAGCACCACTAGCACCACTGGCACCACTGACTCCGCTTGAACCACCAGCAGCAGCCGCCTAATCATTGTTTATGACATGGTTAGCCACTGGCTAACCATTTGGCTGCACAGGAAGAAAGATTAACTTAATTCAATTTGAATTGGACATGTTTTTACCCGTAGTCACAGGCTCTGATTATTGTTTAATCAGTTAATGTGAAAATCAGGAAGAATATATTTATATTTATTTAAATTAACTTACGAATATTATTTTGTGTGTGTGTGGAGAATCAGAAGTCAGGTCTGCTGCGCAATCTTTCTCCGCAGAATCTCAGGTTGTGTGGTCCTCTCCCTTCCCCCAGCATTTTCCCCAGCATTTCCCCACTTTTGCAAGGGAAATTTATGCAAATGGACGCACAGATCTTTCCAAAGCTTTGCGCAATTATCCCCGAGAATCAGAAAAGAGCTCACCTGCTCCGCTGCAGCATTTGGCATTTGATTGAACTCAAGTGTGCCAGATGCGTAATGAGTTGATGGGGCAAGGGATCCGTTTGTCAGGTGAAGGGGGCACTCGGAAAAGGGGTTCGGGGCAAGCGAACACGTGACAACTGCTGCGGTGCGGTCAATCGAAACTGAAAATCAATTGGAAATTCCTATGAATACCAGAAGAAAATTCAAAACAACCACCGAAAGCACCCGGCAAGTAGAAGGAAACCACTTGCGAGTGGGTGAAGCAATTCTTGGTTGTTTTTTTTTAGTTCTGTGACACAGTGAATTTTGGCTAAAGTGCAAAACATTGGCTTAACCTTTAATACGAAAAACCAGTTGGGAATTTCAAAAGCTAGCAACAAAACAAATATATTTGTCATAGTTATTAATACAACTAACACCACCTAAATGTGAATCATTTGTACCTTTAAGCGAGGTATCACTGTACCACGGACAACGGCATTTGGGCAACAAAACAACTATTGCTGAAACGCCAGATTCTGATTTCGATTCCGATTCTGATTCTCCTTAACCCCCGGGCCAATGCCCAAAATGCAAATAGCCGCCGCGGAGCGATCGAACTGGAGTAAGCGATATATCTGATATATCTGATTCCGATGCTCCGCATTCGGAACGCCGCGTTGACAATTTGGTCGATGGTCTCACCAAGGCTTTTCCTTGCAGTCCGGGGAAACCGCTACACCACGACGACTACAAACGACCGGATGAATGGACGGAGGATTGGACGGCGAGATTTGGATTTGGATGCGAGTGCAAGTATCACGGATCGCTGATTGCCGATCGCGAATTAGGTTTTGCAATGTGGATGGAAATTTGGCGAGTACGCACGCCAGGCAGCCGCAGGTGACCGTTCTTTGGATCGCCACTTGCAACGTGATGCAGGCACAAAAGCGGGGAAAACCTTTCAAGTGTTTGCTATTTGAGTGAAAATATATAGCCTAATCTTGGTAATCAATTCATCAAACTAATCAAAAAATCAATAAATATCAAATATGGAGAAAGGAAATCTAATCAACATTATGGAGATTCAGCAGCTTGGTAAAAACGTTTTTCCTGAGAATGTGGTGGCTCAAAAGAGGATGGAGCCAAGGCTCAGCCATGGGAATTCACCATTCTTCGCCCCTCCCCCCTCCAGTGAAAGCAAACAATGCGTTAATACTGTTTAATTTGTTTGCCATAAAATAAAAAATACCCAACAAGGGCCCCGCGGTTCGGAGGAGATGGCCAGGAGCAAGGCCAGCGATAAGTCCAGACCAAACCCGACCACCGATCCACCGATATGGATGTTTACCCAACCCTCCCTTTGGTTTTTAGCAATTTTCTTAATGCTCTCGTTACATATATATATATCGATACTATATATATATATAGATCCCCTCTGGCTTAACCGATCAATCTTTATGGCAGCTCGCATAAAAGTTTACGACTTATTGGCAGGAGAATCAGCGGCGGCAGGAGGAGGAGGAGCGCGAGGGGCGGCCGACAGCCGGGGATGTGGCGGTGGCCCCGACTGTCCCCGAAGGTGTAGTGGATGACGCCGCGCCGGGTGCGGAGGACATCGTCCAGGAAGCGCTGTTTCATATTGTTCTCGGAGAGGCACTCCTGCATGAGGTCGTCCGGCAGCTGGATGTGAAACGGGAAGCAGAACATGTGGGCGTCCTCCAGCCTGATCGTTTCGTTTGCGTTGTCGTCCAGGCAGAAGAAGGTCCGCATATCGCCCATCTGGAAGCGGGCGCAGTTCTGCAACGCGGAATCCTTCATCACAACCATCACGTGATCCAGTGTTTTGGGCATGTACAGTGCGAACGGTTCGCCCGTCTTGACGAACGTGTCGCGGTACTTGGTGAAGGCCATCAGGGGATAGGTGCCGCCGCACTTTCGCTCGAGGACCTGCTCCTCCTGCAGCAGATACGTGCACCTCTCGGGCATCCTGTGATGGTGGCCTTCCAGGTTATCCCAGTGATGCTCGGAAAGTGCCTGGACACTGCTGGAATTGATCAGGAGCAGCAGCAGCAGCAGCAGTTGCAAAAAATGGATCTGGATCTGAATGTGAATCCCGGCCAGCTCCATCCACTCCCCACGCACACGAACTCTCCTCTATCTCTATCGCGATCCCAAGTCTGCAGTTGGTGGTCGTCGGTGGTCCGTCAGTGTCGCCGATGCCGATTCCGATCCCGATCCCGATCCTAATCCCGATCCAATCTGCCAGTGTCGATCTCTGTGCGTCAGTGTGTCTCGAGATCGATTCATTTCGAACTGCGGCGACAGCAAAGTAATTACTCCCGCCCAGACAGCTGGCTATAGGTTTGCTGGGGTCGCATGACTCACACATTCCGTGTCGTGACTTTGGACTCGGCGGGATCCAAAGCCGGCAAAACAAACGGAGGTTCTAACAGTTCCCTGCCCCCCAATTGTTTGCCAATTAAAACATGGGGATCTTGTCAAAGAGAGAGTCGATTAAAAGGGGGAAAAGGGAACTTACACTTTATAATACAAATTTATAGAAAAGGGATTATTAGCATATATACTTTCTAGTTGATTTGATAGTCCCATTAAATTGATTAAGAATTTATTTATTATTTATGCAGGATCTGAAGATGCTTTAACTTCGGCTGAAAACGGAATTGTACCACCAATAGTTCTGAAGTAATTAACAGGGAGGGATACTCCAAAATAACGAGGTAAGCACTTAAGAAAACCCATACAATATACTTTTTTTTTTAATTCCATAAACATTAATTTACTTTTATCGAAAGAGCCATGCTAATAGAATATTCACATTAGTTTCAAAGACGCAACTTCATAGATCACCCCCATTGGGATTATTCATTTCGCACTGGCGCTGATTTGCTTGCGATTTAATTGATTCAATTACGAGCTGGCATTATTTCAATTAGGTGAAATGGAGAGGGGTGATCGGAGATCGGAGATCGGGGGAACTTGACATGACACGTTGGATTCGAGTCGAGTTGAGCTATCATCGATAATTATGATGAGTGCGATCCGATCGGATCGATCGGTTCTGATTTGCCTGCATAGCTTTGGGTGATTAATGCAACGGCAGTCGGCTGACGACCAACTGTTTGGCTTCCTTCAATCGCCGATTGAGTGATTGACTGATTGACTTTTCCGGAAGAAAACACTCGGCAGACTGTGATTGCATAATCCGTTCGAATGCAGCAATGCTTTTTACTTGATTGATTTTTAGTCGGATTAAAAAATAATTAATTGATAACGCAAAGCATGCGAAGTCTTCTACTAATCTTTTGTTCTATTTCAACTTTCAACAAGCTTCAAAGCTGATCATGAATCTTTAATACCATCGATAGATAGGTTATCCGAGAAGATAAAGCTGCTAATTTTGTATAATATATTGTATTTTGAGTTGGAGTCTTTAATCCCAAGTTTGTAGCCCCCTGCAGTCCTTGTCTCATAATCGCTGAACAAAGTTATCGAATTCTTTATCCAGTTTTTGGGGCTATTCTGGTGGATATATCACCTCTTGATTTATCTGGCAAATCAATTTCGTTCTCGCCTCGCCTTCTCCCCCGTTGAGATTCGTGTGCGCCCTAAAAGAATCCCCATTTAATTATATGATTTCTGTCCCCCTGTTGCGGAGAATTGGGGGGCCTTTAATTTAATATTGTATTTAAAGCGCTGATTTAACGGCATTCTGTCTGCCCGAATCGTTCGGTTTTGTGTTTTGTTTTTTCGGCTTGCTTGATTTCTGTGATGAAAATATGAATTTATTGATTTTGTCATTAATGGGATTTCCTTTCAGTCCAGCAGGTGGCAATTGTCATGCTGCCAGTGTTGTCAACATACGCTCCACTGATTTATGGTTTGGGCTCTTCTCGCCGAGTTTTTTCTTTCGAATTTTATATATAGTCGTACATATAGTCGGAAGTTGGCACACCATTTGCGGCAAGTGCTGTCGTTCTCCATATTAATCGATGGGCGACAAAGTCTGATACTTCCGTCGCCGCCCTCTCCCTTCCTTTTTGAAATTGTGTCACAGAGAATCGGAGAATCCAAAATGTAGAATCGGAAGCAGAAAAAGGCGTTCAATATGCGCACATTGTGCCGGATTTTCTGATTTTCTGATTGCAGGGTTTTGTTCAGGTTAGTACAGTATTCCTAGAACCGTGCAAGTTTCACTTAAAAATAATTATGAACAACGTCGAAAAGACATCAAAGAGTTCTTTCATATCCTTATAACCTTATAATTATAACCTTATAATTATAACCTTATAATTATAACCTTATAATTATAACCTTATAATTATAACCTTATTAATTGTAAACTTATCGTAATCAGCCACAATCAACACACACAGAAATAAACTCTTGATATAAATGGATAGGTATATAAAATACATCATATTTTATTTTGTTTTTAGGGTATTGCAATATTCGCTATGAAGCTGCAATATCTTTGCGCACATTTCATTTTCCTCGTGTACCTTAAGCCGTTTTTCTTCGCTAGTTGTTTTCAATTTGGGATTCCATCAGTTTATGGTTTATTGCACTTGATATTGCCCTTTGTTTTACTTAATTTTTTCTGCCCATATCTTAATGAATTCGATATGAGGATATATATGCTTTTTGCTCATGACGAAGACGACCTTCCAATTGCCAATGGATCGAAGTTCGTTGGCCAGTTAGCTGCCGGCGATTTTCGTGTTTATTTTTTTCGTAAACTTTTTGGATTGTTTGGTTTTGAATTTGGTTGCTTTTTTTTGTTTTTGCCGCGTTGATTGGTGGCTGGGAGAACCGTTAAACTTTTGCCCCTTGCCTTGACACCTGACACTTGACACATGACACCTGACACAGGCGACGACAGCGCCGCGGCTACACTAGAAAAAAATTGCCCTGGGCGCCTCGAAATTGGACATTGGATATTGGGAATGGGGATTCTTGCTTCATTAATCGCTCGCAATTAAGCGCCACTTTATTTCCAACTTCACACTTTGTTGGTGGCTGCCTTTTTTTGTGTTTTTTTTTTCTGTTTTTTTTTATTTATTTACTTTCGCAGCTTCCCCTTTCCCTATTTTCTTCAGGTTTTCGGTTTCGAATGCATTCAATCAACGCAATTGATTGATGTTTCGCTCGCTTGTGTTGTTCGCTTGGCACGTGTTGGGCTTTTTGTCAGGGTTTCACATTCCGAACTGCTAACGGATATGGAAAGCCTATTCAGAGGCATCTCCAGTTGGCTAAGATTAATTGGAAGAGAAAGATGCGAGAAGCTGAGTAGAATAAATCCTACAAAATTGGACCAAATCTGGTGAATTAAAAAGGTTAATGATTAAAAGCTGTGATCAAACATTGCATTAATGAAATATTAACCCGGCTCAATGAAAAGATTTGGGCAACCCTATTTCACCTTTGGAGGGTAACTCCACATAATGCTCGTATATAAGCTATAAAAACCCATTAATTCCAAGAAAAGTATCATTAAAAGTAAAACCCAGTCAGCTTGGCATAACTTAATTGAAAGAATCATTTTCAATTGCCGGAAGACGGATCCGATCTTCACCACAGATGACTGACTTAACAGCAACCACCTATGTGTGTAGCGATATATATATGAGTTTATCTTTATATGGCAACGATTGTGTGTATATATGTATCTGGGCAAGGCGCACTCTAATCTGGTTCTGCGCACTGAGCGCATTAATTATGCGTTCCAAAGCGATGTCTGGAGTATATATATATACAAAGATAGGTTCTTTTTTGGTTTGCTGCTCATCATCATCCTTCTCTATGAAATTCTTGGCACGAGTTGGTTAATTAATTTAATTAATGTTTTACCAAAGAGACGTCGGCGCTGCCGAAGCGTCGACTTTGACGCCGCCCCTTACTATTTTCCTCTCCCCCACCCCGAATTTTCCACACCGCTCTTCGCTGTTGATTCTAACGGTAGCTAGAATATTAAAACCGAAAAAAATCTACTTAAATACCACACACAGAGCGAGAAAGAAGGCAATAAAAAGGCATGCACTTATAGAAATATTGATGATATTTCACCCTGTCGAATAACTATGTAGATTGTCATGCAACAATTCTTAGTTAACTATTTGTTATTATTATTATATAATATATTATATTAATTTTAATTATTATTATTATTATTATTAATTTTATAGCTATATAATACCTAAATAATTTCGAAGTAAATATAAACTACTGAAATATAATTTCTTTCCCGTTTGCAGAGAGAAAATGAGATGCATTAATTTAAGATATTTAGATGTGTTTTTCTTTATGGTCATTCCTCATGCTTACTTTTCTACGCTTCTTTAGTCCTAAAAAAAAAAAATCGTTTTCATCAAAAATTATTTAAATTTCATTTCGTTTTCAATAATTCCAGCTCTTCTCGGTTTTTATTTTCAATTAGACCCAGGTTTTATATCAACGACGGCCATAAAATTCCTTATCATTTAGCTGCTGCCCCGTGCGTCTCTAATGAAAATTTATGAAACCCACCTCCAACGAGCTTGGTTTTGTTGAATTCCGATATTTGGTTTTCAGTCAACACATCAATGGCATTTTAAAATTGTCCACCGATTCTTATCGGCGGTTCGGGGGAAGAAAGTTTCGTCTGTCATGAGATTCCCACTCGTAAAAATTGCAATTTGTTGTTCCCAAAACCGAAACTAAATTCCGATAATAAGCTGTAAAGTTTTCAATGCTTCTGGAATGTGATGGGCTATAAATCTGGTTTTAGTTTTGTTTGATATATATCATACTAAAGAATTTAATAGGTTATATAGCTAATTAACTACTATCTTTTTATTTGTCAGGTTTAAAGTGTGTGTTAGTATTTGTCTGCGGTTGCAGAAGGCCAATGGCAACACCGTTTTTATTTCACAAGAAATATTTATTATTTAGTATTAGTGTAACTAATACAGTGATTTTAATACATTTTTATGCAGTTATAATTTAGGGAGTTTTCGAAGCCCTTTTATTGGATATTCTTAGCTTTGCGCGGTTCTCCCTCTACTGTTGCTGTCGCGTTTAAAGTTGTTGTTGTTGTTGTTGTGGTTGCTCCTGCTCCAGCTTCTTGTTCTTCCTTTTCTTCGGCGTCTGCAGTTTTATTGATTTATGCGAATGCGGCAATCATCAAAGAGAGATTCAAAGCATGACTGCAACTACTAAAACGACCACAACTACTACAACAACAATTTAACCGGCAACCGTGGGTTGTAAAACCCAAATGTGCAAGCAAAAAATACCAGCCTGTCTGGTGGTCAAGCCTTGAAAAAATTAAAAAATGCAACTACAAATTAATGCATTGTGATTTGCACCATGTTAAAACCTTAAAATATTATATTTTCATATTTTTAGTTTCCAAACTACATATATTGGCAATGCTATAATTTCGGAATGAACTTCTATATTGACCATAGCTGTACATGCGAATAGTGGCTTGTGTTCTACGGCAATCGGAGAATATCAATTTTCCTCAATTCCGAAATTATAGCATATAAATGCCTTTTGGGCAGGCAGAGTTGCAAATATGAGGCTAACGTCGCGTATACGTAATATTATGAAGAGTGGGACGACAAAGACGACATTCATACTATGGAATACTATGATTTCTACAGTCAAACGAAAAAAAAATATGAAGAGGCAGTGGCAGTGGAAAAATAGTCGGAATCGGATTCAGAAGCAGTATGAA